CCACTACCGCCCACAGGATGGGTATGGGGTGCATAATAAATGAACTACACTAACATCCATCTACACCCGTGGGGCGGTGTAGGGAACCTTAGGTGTTGGGAACTTTACATGTAGGGAACCTTATGTGTAGAGAACCTAAGGTGTAAGGAACCTTAGGTGTAGGGAACCTTAGGTGTAGGGAACCTTATGTGTACGGAACCTTATGTGTAGGGAACCTTAGGTGTAGGGAACCTTATATGTTGGGAACCTTGTATAGAGAACCTAAGGTGTAGGGAACTTTAGGTGTAGGGAACTTTATGTGTAGGGAACCTTATGTGTAGGGAACCTTATGTGTAGGGAACCTTAGGTGTAGGGAACGTTATGTGTTGGGAACCTTAGGTGTAGGGAACGTTATGTGTTGGGTACCTTATGTGTTGGGAACCTAAGGTGTAGGGAACCTTAGGTGTAGGGGAACCTAAGGTGTAGGGATCCTTAGATTTAGGGAACCTTATGTGTAGGGAACCTTATTTAGTGGGTAATACCCCGCTGATGAGGGGGGGGGGAGGAGGTCCTTGAATACCTGAGCCAGTTTTAACAGACCGACCTGTCAACTGGTCTACCTGTCAACAGCTATTCCTGTCAAGGAAGAGAGGGTGAAAGGAATTACCTCACCTCGCCCCCCGCCCTCCTCCTCCCAGCATGAAGAGGGAGGGGGACGTTGGAGAGACTGGTAAGCTTCTCCCCAACATGATAAACATAACTTTTAAAGATGCTGGATTGTGAGGGACAATTAATTTAAACAAAGTGAGATCCTTCGAACCCCGACCAGGCTAGTGGCTACACCCTTTGACCTCTTACGTCAATGTAGAGGGGGAGAAGGGGAGAGGGAGAGGATAACAGGTTAGGTCAATAGAAGATAGGGAAGTCTGTTATAGAAAGCCATCAGATGGGGGACTCAGCAAATCTGCTCCAGAAAGCGCTCCTTCACCTGTTGCTAACTCTCCCTCACCTGTTGCTAACTCTCCCTCACCTGTTGCTGACTCTCCCTCACCTGTTGCTGACTCTCCCCTCACGTGTTGATGCCTTTCTGTACCACACACTCCAGCACCTGTTGATGTCTCTCTGTACCATACTCTCCACCACCTGTTGATGCCTCTGTACCATACTCTCCACCACCTGTTGATGCCTCTGTACCATACTCTCCACCACCTGTTGATGCCTCTGTGTACCACACTATACACCACCTGTTGATGCCTCTGTGTACCACACTATACACCACCTGTTGATGCCTCTGTGTACCACACTATACACCACCTGTTGATGCCTCTGTGTACCACACTATACACCACCTGTTGATGCCTCTCTGTACCACACTATACACCACCTGTTGATGCCTCTGTGTACCACACTATACACCACCTGTTGATGCCTCTGTGTACCACACTATAAACCACCTGTTGATGCCTCTCTGTACCATACTATACACCACCTGTTGAAGCCTCTCTGTACCACACTATACACCACCTGTTGATGCCTCTGTGTACCACACTATACACCACCTGTTGATGCCTCTGTGTACCACTGGTACAGCCACTTAGGATCAGTAACCGGGTTCTCGATGTTATAACCATTTTTTGTGTATCCGACCCCAAGTCGGTAGCAGGCTTTCGATAAATGGTGATATAGTGCAATAAAGAGTAAGGTGGGATAAACAATACACTGCTCTCTAGCTATTCGTTAGCAGAGGGCTTCAGCCACACGCTGACAGGGGTCACAAACAACCATATACAGGGGTAGCGAACACCCTCGCATAAGCCTCTAGCAGCACGTCACTATGGGCACTTTACTGTCGTCCGCTGCGCTCCTAAGCCAATAACCGGTACGCCGATCTCTACCAATACTGCGTAATATAGCAGCTAACACACTGCGCAGATCGACGGCGGCTTCATAGTTGAGAGTACGAGGACTGCCCTCCTCAGTACGACTGCCTCCACACGTCACCTCTGTGGACAAAAACGTCATCAGTTGGTTGACATGATACTCGTAGCACAAACTAGGTGGCGCTGATCTTGGTACGCCACTCACCAGAGCTCGTCCACGTCGACCTCACTTTCCGATTAAGGCAGGAAACCAGAGCCATTTGCCGATATCACGCCACCACCAATAGATGGCGTTGTTCACGTAGCATCCAAAATCAGGTAAGTTTGAGTGCAGACTCATAGATGGCGCTGAATTGCCACTTTACACTCCGACGATGGTGCCGATACCGTAACAACCACACCCCTTTCACCTGTTGATGACTCTCTGTTCCATACTCTCGACTACCTCTTGATGCCTCTCTCTACCAAACTCTCCACCACCTGTTGATGCCTCTCTCTACCAAACTCTCCACCACCTGTTGATGCCTCTCTCTACCAAACTTTCCACCACCTGTTGATGCCTCTCTCTACCAAACTCTCCACCACCTGTTGATGCCTCTCTCTACCAAACTCTCCGCCACCTGTTGATGCCTCTCTCTACCAAACTTTCCACCACCTGTTGATGCCTCTCTGTTCCAAACTCTCCACCACCTGTTGATGCCTCTCTCTACCAAACTCTCCGCCACCTGTTGATGCCTCTCTCTACCAAACTCTCCACCACCTGTTGATGCCTCTCTCTACCAAACTCTCCGCCACCTGTTGATGCCTCTCTCTACCAAACTCTCCACCACCTGTTCATGCCTCTCTGTTCCAAACTCTCCACCACCTGTTGATGCCTCTCTCTACCAAACTCTCCACCACCTGTTGATGCCTCTCTCTACCAAACTCTCCACCACCTGTTGATGCCTCTCCGTTCCAAACTCTCCACCACCTGTTGATGCCTCTCTCTACCAAACTCTCCACCACCTGTTGATGCCTCTCCGTTCCAAACTCTCCACCACCTGTTGATGCCTCTCCGTTCCAAACTCTCCACCACCTGTTGATGCCTCTCCGTTCCAAACTCTCCACCACCTGTTGATACCTCTCCGTTCCAAACTCTCCGCCACCTATTGCTTACTCTTCCTCACCTGTTGATGTCTCTCCTTATTTGTTGCTGACTCATTCTCACCTATTGCAGACTCCCCTCACATGCTGCTGACTCTCCCTCACCTGTTGTTGACTCTCCCTTCACCCGTGGCTGACTCTTCCTCACCTGTTGCAAGACCCTTCCTGACTTGTTGCAGACTCTCACCTGTTGCTGACTCTTCCTCACCTGTTGCTGATTTGCACTTTTTGCTGACTCTCCCTCACCTGTTGCAGACCCTTCCTCACCTGTTGCTGACTCTCCCTCACCTGTTGCAGACTCTTCCTCACCTGTTGCTGACTCTTCCTCACCTGTTGTTGACTCTTCCTCACTTGTTGCTGACTCTCACTTGTTGCTGACTCTCACTTATTGCTGACTCTTCCTCACCTGTTGCTGATTCTTCCTCACCTGATGCTGACTCTTCCTCACCTGTTGCTGACTCTTCCTCACCTGTTGCTGACTCTTCCTCACTTATTGCTGACTCTTCCTCACCTGTTGCTGACTCTTCCTCACTTGTTGCTGACTCTTCCTCACCTGTTGCCGACTCTTCCTCACCTGTTGCTGACTCTTCCTAACCTGTTGCTGACTCTTCCTCACCTGTTGCTGACTCTTCCTCACCTGTTGCTGACTCTTCCTCACTTGTTGCTGACTCTTCCTCACCTGTTGCTGACTCTTCCTCACTTGTTGCTGACTCTCACCTGTTGCCGACTCATCCTTAAATGTTGCTGACTCTTCCTCACCTGTTGCTGACTCTTCATCACCTGTTGCTGACTCTTCCTCACCAGTTGCTGACTCTTCCTCTTGTTGCTGACTCTCACTTGTTGCTGACTCTTCCTCACCTGTTGCTGACTCTTCCTCACCTGTTGCCGGCTCTTCCTCGGACCGGGGGGGGATACACTAAAAAGCCCCGAAATCATCTCAAGATAACCTGTTGCTGACTTTTCCTCACCTGTTGCTGACTCTTCCTCACCTGTTGCTGACTCTTCCTCACCTGTTGCTGACTCTTCCTCACCTGTTGCTGACTCTTCCTCACCTGTTGCTGACTCCCTCACCTGTTGCTGACTTTTCCTCCTGTTGCTGACTCTCACTTGTTGCTGACTCTCACTTGTTGCTGACTCTTCCTCACCTGTTGCTGACTCTTCCTCACTTGTTGCTGACTCTTCCTCACCTGTTCCTGACTCTTCCTCACCTGTTGCTGACTCTTCCTCACCTGTTGCTGACTCTTCCTCACCTCTTGCTGACTCTTCCTCACGTGTTGCTGACTCTTCCTCACCTGTTGCTGACTCCCTCACCTGTTGCTGACTTTTCCTCCTGTTGCTAACTCTCACTTGTTGCTGACTCTCACTTGTTGCTGACTCTTCCTCACCTGTTGCTGACTCTTCCTCACCGGTTGCTGACTCTTCCTCACCTGTTGCTGACTCTTCCTCACCTGTTGCTGACTCTTCCTCACCTGTTGCTGACTCCCTCACCTTTTACTGACTCTTCCTCACCTGTTGCTGAGTCTTCCTCACCTGTTGCTGACTCTTCCTCACCTGTTGCTGACTCTTCCTCACTTGTTGCTGACTCTCCCTCACCTGTTGCTGACTCTTCCTCACCTGTTGCTGACTCCCTCACCTGTTGCTGACTCTTCCTCACCTGTTGCTGACTCTTCCTCACCTGTTGCTGACTCTTCCTCATCGGTTACTGACTCTTCCTCACCTGTTGCCGACTCTTCCTCACCTGTTGCTGATTCTTCCTCACCTGTTGCTGACTTCCTCACCAGTTGCTGACTCTTCCTCATCGGTTGCTGACTCTTCCTCACCTGTTGCCGACTCTTCCTCACCTGTTGCTGACTCTTCCTCACCTGTTGCTGACTATTCCTCACCTGTTGCTGACTCTTCCTCATCGGTTGCTGACTCTTCCTCACCTGTTGCCGGCTCTTCCTCACCTGTTGCTGACTCTTCCTCACCTGTTGCTGACTCTTCCTCACCTGTTGCTGACTATTCCTCACCTGTTGCTGACTCTTCCTCACCTGTTGCCGACTCTTCCTCACCTGTTGCTGACTCTTCCTCACCTGTAGCTGACTCCTCCTCACCTGTTGCCGACTCTTCCTCACCTGTTGCTGATTCTTCCTCACCTGTTGCTGACTTCCTCACCTGTTGCTGACTCTTCCTCACCTGTTGCTGACTCTTCCTCACTTGTTGCTGACTCTTTCTCACTTGTTGCCGACTCGGCCTCACCTGTTGCTGACTCTTCCTCACCTGTTGCTGACTCTTCCTCACCTGTTGCTGACTCTTCCTCACCTGTTGCTGACTCTTCCTCATCGGTTGCTGACTCTTCCTCACCTGTTGCAGACTCTGCCTCTCCTGTTGCTGAGTCTTCCTCACCTGTTGCTGAGTCTTCCTCACCTGTTGCTGACTCTTCCTCACTTGTTGCTGACTCTTCCTCACTTGTTGCTGACTCTTCCTCACCTGTTGCTGACTCTTCCTCACCTGTTGCTGACTCTTCCTCACCTGTTGCCGACTCTTCCTCACCTGTTGCTGACTCTTCCTCACCTGTTGCCGACTCTTCCTCACCTGTTGCTGACTCTCCCTCACCTGTTGCTGACTCTTCCTCACTTGTTGCTGACTCTTCTTCATCTGTTGCCGACTCTTCCTCACCTGTTGCCGACTCTTCCTCACCTGTTGCTGACTCTTCCTCACTTGTTGCCGACTCTGCCTCACCTGTTGCTGACTCTTCCTCACCTGTTGCTGACTCTTCCTCACCGGTTGCTGACTCTTCCTCACCTGTTGCTGACTCTTCCTCACTTGTTGCTGACTCTTCCTCACCTGTTGCATACTCTTCCTCACCTGTTGCCGACTCTTCCTCACCTGTTGCTGACTCCTCCTCACCTGTTGCCGACTCTTCCTCACCTGTTGCTGGCTCTCCCTCACCTGTTGCTGACTCTACTGATGCTGACTCTACTGTTGCTGACTCTCCCAGAGTGCCCCTCCCCTAGAGAGCTCGTCCCCCAGAGAGCCCCTCCCCCCAGAGAGCCCCTCCTCCAGAGAGTCCCTCCCCCCAGATAGCTCGTCCCCCCAGAGAGCCCCTCCCCCAGAGAGCCCCTCCCCCAGAGAGCCCCTCCCCCAGAGAGCCCCTCCCCTCAGAGAGCCCCCTCCCCCCAGAGAGCCCCCTCCCCCCAGAGAGCCCCCTCCCCCCAGAGAGCTCGTCCCCAGAGAGCCCCCTCCTTCCAGAGAGCCCCCTCCCCCCCCAGAGAGCCCCTCCCCCAGAGAGCCCCTTCCCCCAGAGAGCTCGTCTCCCAGAGGGCCCCTCCCCCCAGAGAGCCCCTTCCCCCAGAGAGCTCGTCCCCCAGAGAGCCCCTCCCCCAGAGAGCCCCCTCCCCCAGAGAGCACCTCCCCCAGAGAGCCCCCTCCCCCAGAGAGCCCGTCCCTTAGAGAGCCCCTTCCCCCAGATAGCTCGTCCCCCAGAAAGCCCCTCCCCCAGAGAGCCCCTCCCCCAGAGAGCCCCTCCCCCCAGAGAGCTCGTCCCCCACAGAGCCCCTCCCCCAGAGAGCCCCTCCCCCAGAGAGCCCCTCCCCCCAGAGAGCCCCTCCCCCATAGAGCCCCTCCCCCCAGAGAGCTCGTTCCCCCAGAGAGCCCCTCCCTCAGAGAGCCCCTCCCCCCAAAGAGCCCCTCCCCCAGAGAGCCCCTCCCCCCAGAGAGCTCGTCCCTCCAGAGAGCCCCTCCCCTAGAGAGCCCCTCCCCCAAAGAGCCCTTCCCCCCAGAGAGCCCCTCCCCCAGAGAGCCCCTCCCCCCAGAGAGCTCGTCCCCCCAGAGAGCCCCTCCCCCAGAGAGCCCCCCCCAGAGAGCTCGTTCCCCCAGAGAGCTCGTCCCCCAGAGAGCCCCTCCCCCAGAGAGCCCCTCCCCAGAGAGCCCCTCCCCCAGAGAGCTCGTCCCCCAGAGAGCCCCTCCCCCAGAGAGCCCCTCCCCCAGAGAGCCCCTCCCCCAGAGAGCCCCTCCCCCAGAGAGCCCCCTCCCCCCAGAGAGCTCGTCCCCCAGAGAGCCCCTCCCCCAGAGAGCCCCTCCCCCCAGAGAGCTCGTCCCCCCAGAGAGCTCGTCCCCCAGAGAGCCCCCTCCCCCCAGAGAGCCCCTGCCCCAGAGATCCCATCCCCCCAGAGAGCCCCTCCCCCCAGAGAGCTCGTCCCCCATAGAGCCCCTCCCCCCAGAGAGCCCCTCCCCCAGAGAGCTCGTCCTCCCAGAGAGCTCGTCCCCCAGAGAGCCCCTCCCCCAGAGAGCCCCTCCCCCAGAGAGCCCCTCCCCCAGAGAGCCCCTCCCCCCAGAGAGTCCCTCCCCCAGAGAGCCCCTCCCCCCAGAGAGCCCCTCCCCAGAGAGCCCCTCTCCCAGAGAGCCCCTCCCCCAGAGAGCCCCTCCCCCCAGAGAGCCCCTCCCCCAGAGAGCCCCTCCCCCAGATTGCCCCTCCCCCAGAGAGCCCCTCCTCCAGAGAGCCCCTCCCCCCAGAGAGCTCGTCCCCAGAGAGCCCCTCCCCCAAAGAGCCCCTCCCCCAGAGAGCCCCTCCCCCCAGAGAGCCCCTCCCCCATAGAGCCCCCTCCCCCCAGAGAGCCCCTCCCCCAGAGAGCCTCTCCCCCAGAGAGCCCCTCCCCCCAGAGAGCTCGTCCCCCAGAGAGCCCCTCCCCCCAGAGAGCCCCTCCCCCAGAGAGCCCCTCCCCCAAAGAGCCCCTCCCCCCAGAGAGCTCGTCCCCCCAGAGAGCCCCTCCCCCAGAGAGCCCCCCCCCCCAGAGAGCTCGTTCCCCAGAGAGCTCGTCCCCCAGAGAGCCCCTCCCCCAGAGAGCCACTCCCCCAGAGAGCCCCTCCCCCAGAGAGCTCGTCCCCCAGAGAGCCCCTCCCCCAGAGAGCCCCTCCCCCAGAGAGCCCCTCCCCCAGAGAGCCCCTCCCCCAGAGAGCCCCTCCCCCCAGAGAGCTCGTCCCCCAGGGCGGCAGCATCTGGCCACCATTAAGGAAACAGTTATACAGCAGCCACTTCCGGGCTGAGACGACACGCGCCCTCAAAAATAGAGTGATCTCGGGACCATAATTTTTGGCCACGATGAGTGCCAGGACGAGTGCCAGGCTGAGTGCCAGGACGAGTGCCAGGATGAGTGCCAGGATGAGTGCCAAAATGAGTGCCAGGCTGAGTGCCAGGACGAGTGCCAGGATGAGTGCCAGGACGAGTGCCAGGACGAGTGCCAGGACGAGTGCCAGGACGAGTGACAGGATGAGTGCCAGGCTGAGTGCCAGGACGAGTGCCAGGATGAGTGCCAGGATGAGTGCCAGGACGAGTGCCAGGCTGAGTGCCAGGACGAGTGCCAGGATGAGTGCCAGGATGAGTGCCAGGCTGAGTGCCAGGACGAGTGCCAGGACGAGTGCCAGGATGAGTGCCAGGACGAGTGCCAGGATGAGTGCCAGGACGAGTGCCAGGATGAGTGCCAGGACGAGTGCCAGGATGAGTGCCAGGACGAGTGCCAGGATGAGTGCCAGGACGAGTGCCAGGATGAGTGCCAGGACGAGTGCCAGGTGGAGTTCCATGATGAGTGCCAGGATGAGTGTCAGGATGAGTGCCAGGATGAGTGCCAGGATGAGTGCCAGGATGAGTGCCAGGACGAGTGCCAGGATGAGTTCCATGATGAGTGCCAGGATGAGTGCCAGGACGAGTGCCAGGATGAGTGTCAGGATGAGTGTCAGGAGGAGTGCCAGGATGAGTGTGAGGAGGGGGTGTGAGGAGGGGGAGTGAGGAGGGGGAGTGAGGAGGGGGGGAGTGAGGAGGGGGAGTGCGGAGGGGAGTGAGGAGGGGGAGTGAGGAGGGGGAGTGAGGAGAGGGTGTGAAGAGGGGGAGTGAGGAGGGGGAGTGAAGAGGGGGAGTGAGGAGGGGGTGTGAGGAGGGGTTGTGAGGAGGGGTTGTGAGGAGGGTGTGTGAGGAGGGGTTGTGAGGAGGGGTTGTGAGGAGGGTGTGTGAGGAGGGGTTGTGAGGAGGGGGAGTGAGGAGGGGGTGTGAGGAGGGTGTGTGAGGAGGGGTTGTAAGGAGGTGGTGTGAGGAGGGGTTGTGAGGAGGGGTTGTGAGGAGGGGGTGTGAGGAGGGGTTGTGAGGAGGGGTCGTGAGGAGGGGGTGTGAGGAGGGGGTGTGAGGAGGGGTTGTGAGGAGGGGGGTGTGAGGAGGGGTTGTGAGGAGGGGTGTGAGGAGGGGTTGTGAGGAGGGGTTGTGAGGAGGGGGTGTGAGGAGGGGTTGTGAGGAGGGGGAGTGAGGAGGGGGTGTGAGGAGGAGTTGTGAGGAGGGGATGTGAGGAGGGGTTGGAGTGCTTAGAGGATCTTGGCTCTCATCCAGTGACGTCACTGGGAAGGGGCTGAACTTCTCACCAGTCCCGTGACATCACACAGGAAGCCAGATGACAGCCATCACCTGCTAAGTGGAGGGTCCGACCCTACCCCCCCCCCCTTCGGGGCCGACCCTCACCCCTCCACACGGGGCCGACCCTCCCCCACACGGGGCCGACCCTCCACCATACGGGGCCGACCCTCTACCACACGGGGCCGACCCTCCACCACACGGGGCCGACCCTCCACCACACGGGGCCGACCCTCCACCACACGGGGCCGACCCTCCACCACACGGGGCCGACCCTCCACCACACGGGGCCGACCCTCCACCACACGGGGCCGACCCTCCACCACACGGGGCCGACCCTCCACCACACGGGGCCGACCCTCCACCACACGGGGCCGACCCTCCACCACACGGGGCCGACCCTCCACCACACGGGGCCGACCCTCCACCACACGGGGCCGACCCTCCCCCACACGGGGCCGACCCTCCACCACACGGGGCCGACCCTCCACCACACGGGGCCGACCCTCCACCACACGGGGCCGACCCTCCCCCCCCCCCCTACGGGGCCGACCCTCACCCCCCCCTACGGGGCCGACCCTCCACCACACGGGGCCGATCCTCCACCACACGGGGCCGACCCTCCCCCCCTACGGGGCCGACCCTCACCCCCCCCCCTACGGGGCCGCCCCTCCACCACACGGGGCCGATCCTCCACCACACGGGGCCGACCCTCCCCCCCCTACGGGGCCGACCCTCACCCCCCCCCTACGGGGCCGACCCTCCACCACACGGGGCCGACCCTCCACCACACGGGGCCGACCCTCCACCACACGGGGCCGACCCTCCACCACACGGGGCCAACCCTCCACCACCCGGGGCCGACCCTCCACCACACGGGGCCGACCCTCCCCTACACGGGGCCGACCCTCACCCCCCCTACGGGGCCGACCCTCACCCCCCCCCTACGGGGCCGATCCTCCACCACACGGGGCCGACCCTCCCCCCCCCCCTACGGGGCCGACCCTCACCCCCCCTACGGGGCCGACCCTCCACCACACGGGGCCGACCCTCCCCCACACGGGGCTGACCCTCCACCACACGGGGCCGACCCTCCACCACACGGGGCCGACCCTCCACCACACGGGGCCAACCCTCCCCCTACACGGGACCTACTCCCACCCCCTCACGGGGCCTACCCCCACCCCCTCACGGGGCCTACCCCCACCCCCTCACGGGGCCTACCCCCCCCCTCACGGGGCCTACTCCCACCCCCTCACGGGGCCTACCCCCCCCCCCTCACGGGGGCCGCCACCGTGACATATTTCCTGGTATAGAGAGGGGAAGAGGGAGCAGGGGTCTGGCCTCCGCCATTCTCAGTAATGTCTCTGGCCCCAGGGCCCGCCATAACCCCCTCCTGGGCCTGAGAGGGCTGCCATCACCACCGAACCGTTTGGGCAACACTTGCCTTTGGCAGGGCGCCCCTCTGGTTCATTCATTCTCTCCGGCAGTGAGCCAGGGGCCCCTTCTCACCCCTTCTGTAGGGGTGAGAAGGGAGCCCCCTGCCGTAGGGTCCCCTGCAGGAGGGGACGTGGGAGGGGGTCACAGGCATCAGCCTCCTGTTCCTGATGCCGACACCACTTGTGTTCTTCTGGGTATTTATGTGACGCTTTCCGCCCCGTTCTCCGTTCATTGTTCCTGTAGAACACTATCCCCCCCCCAGGAGGTGATGGTGTTGGAGGGGGGAGATGGAGGGGCGTGAGGAGGGGGGGGGGGAGAAGGAGGGGCATGTCGCCCAACCCTCTGGCTGGCAGTCGATCTCAATACGCCTCGCCGTACACACGTGCGCGCGCGTATACACACAGGGCACGTGCACCCGTCACGCGCACACACGCCCGGCACTAAGGTCAGGGACGGGGTACTGAAGGTTGGAAGACAGAAGCCAGCGTGTGTTTGGACAGGTACTCCCCCTGCGAGACGGTACACAGCTGTACCGCCACAGTGACTGACGGTACACAGCTGTACTACCACAGTGACTGACGGTACACAGCTGTACTACCACAGTGGCTGACGGTACGCAGCTGTACCGCCACAGTGACTGACGGTACACAGCTGTACTACCACAGTGACTGACGGTACACAGCTGTACCGCCACAGTGACTGACGGTACACAGCTGTACTACCACAGTGACTGACGGTACACAGCTGTACTACCACAGTGACTGACGGTACACAGCTGTACCGCCACAGTGACTGACGGTACACAGCTGTACCGCCACAGTGACTGACGGTACACAGCTGTACCGCCACAGTGGCTGACGGTACACAGCTGTACCGCCACAGTGGCTGACGGTACACAGCTGTACCGCCACAGTGGCTGACGGTACACAGCTGTACCGCCACAGTGACTGACGGTACACAGCTGTACCGCCACAGTGACTGACGGTACAGCACCACAGTACCCCCAGGGGTAGACGACCCGCTGGACCTCACCTGGGCGACTCCTCATGAATCGGAAAAAGAAAATCCCGAGCCACTGAAAGCAGAGGGCGCCTCTCCCACTTGCAACACCCGCCACCACTTGCAACACCCGCCACCACTTGCAACACCCGCCACCACTTGCAACACCCGCCACCACTTGCAACTCCTGCCACCACTTGCAACACCCGCCACCACTTGCAACACCCGCCACCACTTGCAACTCCCGCCACCACTTGCAACACCCGCCACCACTTGCAACACCCGCCACCACTTGCAACACCCGCCACCACTTGCAACACCCGCCACCACTTGCAACACCTTTAAACGTTGTGAGGAAGACAATGTCTGAGAGGACTGTGGGTGCGTGAGGTCCTCTATGGTGGCGCGTCAATAGACCGGAGTTGGGTTACCGAAAACCCTTCAATCTGACGAACTTGGTCAACATTGCGGAAGTCCACTGAGACTGGAGGAGGGCCTCGGAACACTGGAGGAGGGCCCGAAACACTGGAGGAGGGGCCCAGAACACAGGAGGAGGGCCCAGAACACTGGAGGAGGGCCCAGAACACAGGAGGAGGGCCCGAAACACTGGAGGAGGGGCCTAGAACACAGGAGGAGGGCCCAGAACACTGGAGGAGGGCCCAGAACACAGGAGGAGGGTCCAGAACACTGGAGGAGGGCCTCGGAACACAGGAGGAGGGCCCGGAACACTGGAGGAGGGGCCAGAACACTGGAGGAGGGCCCGAAACACTGGAGGAGGGGCCCAGAACACAGGAGGAGGGCCCAGAACACTGGAGGAGGGCCCAGAACACAGGAGGAGGGTCCAGAACACTGGAGGAGGGCCCAGAACACAGGAGGAGGGTCCAGAACACTGGAGGAGGGCCCAGAACACTGGAGGAGGGCCCAGAACACTGGAGGAGGGCCCAGAACACTGGAGGAGGGCCCAGAACACTGGAGGAGGGCCCAGAACACTGGAGAAGAGCCCAGAACACAGAAAAAGGGCCCAGAACACTGGAGGAGGGCCCAGAACACAGGAGGAGGGTCCAGAACACTGGAGGAGGGCCCAGAAGACTGGATGAGGGCCCAGAATACTGGAGGAGAGCCCAGAATACAGCAGAAGGGCCCAGAACACAGCAGGAGGGCCCAAAACACAGGAGGAGTGCCCAGAACACAGGAGGAGTGCCCAGAACACAGGAGGAGGGCCCAGAACACAGCTGGAGGGCCCAGAACACGGCAGGAGGGCCCAGAACACAGGAGGAGGTGCCTGGAACACTGGGTAATGTGGGCGGACGCGAGACGAGGCACAGGCCTCAGTAGTCTCCCCTCTCAGGTGAGTGCCACAGTGCCATCTCTCTCTTGAACTTATATTCGAGTACTAACATTTGTACTCACCTAGTTGTGCTTGCGGGGGTTGAGCTCTGGCTCTTTGGTCCCGCCTCTCACCCGTCAATCAACTGGTGTACAGGTTCCTGAGCCTACCGGGCTCTGTCATACCTACATTTGAAACTGTGTATGAAGTCAGCCTCCACCACATCACTGCCTAATGCATTCCATCCGTTAACTACTCTGACACAGAAAAAGTTCTTGCTAACGTCTCTGTGGCTCATTTGGGTACTCAGTTTCCACCTGTGTCCCCTTGTTCGCGTCCCACCCGTGTTGAATGTCTTAATCTTCCCTGGCTATTCCACTGAGAATTTTCTGTTGTAATCATGTCTCCGCTGACTCATGAGCATCTACACTCATGCTCTCAGCGTTGATGCTCTGAGTGTTGATGCTCTGAGTGTTGACGTTCAGGGTGTTGTTGTTCTGGGTGTTGATGTTCTGAGTGTTGATGTTCTAGGTGTTGATGTTCTGAGTGTTGATGTTCAGGGTGTTGTTGTTCTGGGTGTTGATGTTCTGAGTGTTGATGTTCAGGGTGTTGATGTTCTGAGTGTTGATGTTCTGGGTGTTGATGTTCTGAGTGTTGATGTTCTGGGTGTTGATGTTCAGGGTGTTGATGCTCTGAGTGTTGATGTTCTGAGTGTTGATGTTCTGAGTGTTGATGTTCAGGGTGTTGATGTTCTGAGTGTTGATGTTCTGGGTGTTGATGTTCAGGGTGTTGATGCTCTGAGTGTTGATGTTCTGAGTGTTGATGTTCTGAGTGTTGATGTTCAGGGTGTTGATGTTCTGAGTGTTGATGTTCAGGGTGTTGATGCTATGAGTGTTGATGTTCTGAGTGTTGATGTTCTGAGTGTTGATGTTCAGGGTGTTGATGTTCTGAGTGTTGATGTTCAGGGTGTTGATGCTCTGAGTGTTGATGTTCTGAGTGTTGATGTTCAGGGTGTTGATGTTCTGAGTGTTGATGTTCAGGGTGTTGATGCTCTGAGTGTTGATGTTCTGAGTGTTGATGTTCAGGGTGTTGATGCTCTGAGTGTTGATGTTCTGAGTGTTGATGTTCAGGGTGTTGATGCTCTGAGTGTTGATGTTCTGAGTGTTGATGTTCTGAGTGTTGATGTTCTGAGTGTTGATGTTCAGGGTGTTGTTGTTCTGAGTGTTGATGTTCTGGGTGTTGATGTTCAGGGTGTTGATGTTCAGGGTGTTGTTGTTCTGAGTGTTGATGTTCAGGGTGTTGATGTTCAGGGTGTTGATGTTCAGGGTGTTGTTGTTCTGAGTGTTGATGTTCTGAGTGTTGATGTTCAGGGTGTTGTTGTTCTGAGTGTTGATGTTCAGGGTGTTGATGTTCAGGGTGTTGATGTTCTGAGTGTTGATGTTCAGGGTGTTGTTGTTCAGGGTGTTGTTGTTCTGAGTGTTGATGTTCTGAGTGTTGATGTTCTGAGTGTTGTTGTTCTGAGTGTTGATGTTCAGGGTGTTGATGTTCAGGGTGTTGATGTTCTGAGTGTTGATGTTCAGGGTGTTGTTGTTCAGGGTGTTGTTGTTCTGAGTGTTGATGTTCTGAGTGTTGATGTTCTGGGTGTTGATGTTCTGAGTGTTGATGTTCTGAGTGTTGATGTTCTGAGTGTTGATGTTCTGAGTGTTGATGTTCAGGGTGTTGATGTTCTGAGTGTTGATGTTCTGAGTGTTGATGTTCAGGGTGTTGATGTTCAGGGTGTTGATGTTCTGAGTGTTGATGCTCTGAGTGTTGATGTTCTGAGTGTTGATGTTCTGGGTGTTGATGTTCTGAGTGTTGATGTTCTGAGTGTTGATGTTCTGAGTGTTGATGTTCTGAGTGTTGATGTTCAGGGTGTTGATGTTCTGAGTGTTGATGCTCTGAGTGTTGATGTTCTGGGTGTTGATGTTCAGGGTGTTGATGTTCTGAGTGTTGATGCTCTGAGTGTTGATGTTCTGAGTGTTGATGTTCTGAGTGTTGATGTTCTGAGTGTTGATGTTACCTTTACTGCTCTAACCATCTTGGCCTTAACCTCACCCTTGGGTCAAGCCCATCGAGAGGTCTGGAGGGCGACCTGGCCTGACCTCGGGAGGCCTCAGGAGGTCACCCTCGGAGCCTCCCAGAGTGGTCGTTGTGTCTGGTAGTTGGTACAGTGGGTCGTTAACCATCTGGTCCGGGAGGCCTACGTTTAATTTTATTATTATGCACCCCATACCCATCTTGTGGGCGATGAAAGTGTTACAGAGGCACATAATGGATTCAGGGACTGAACCCCATAGTTCGTTTAGCTAAGCAAGTAACAGCCTTGGGAAGCTAGTTACACAATTGTTTGTTACATATATATATATATAATATATATATATATATATATATATATATATATATATATATATATATATATATATATATATATATATATATGAAAATACATATTTTTTCATATCATACGTGATTGGACAAGAGGCTCACAACAGTCTCTATACAAGCCACTTTACATATCATAGCAGCTGTTGTTGATTTTTTGTATTTATTTTTAAAACAAAATCAGACCCCGACACTCCTTAATGACAGTCCCTAACCACCCAACAGTTACACTGCAAAGTTTGGTGGGGCTGAACCCCAAACTTGGACAAATAGACATTATATTTGACTATATATATTGTGATGTGAAGGTGTTTAAAGAAAGGCAAGAGCAGCACACGTCAGCTGGTGTTGCTTCATGTGTTTATAGGGACCTATAAGCTCCCACCTGCAACACCCTATTTTAGTGTGTTGCAGGGTGATAGTGGTGCAGTGGGCGGCGTGGTAACTGTTGTGTGTGTGTTGCAGGTGTCGTCGTCATGGCGGTGTGAGCGGAGCCCCAGGATGGTGGGCGGGCTTGTGGCGGCCGTGATGCTGGCCGTGGTGGGGCTGGCCTGCGCCCACCCCGACACCGACGACCTCCACGACCTGGGCCTCAGCGTCGTCGCCAAGCGCGACCTGGAGTTCAACCAGTACGTGCCCGGGTACAGGCTGCGGGGCGAGCCCAGCTGCGAGGAGCTGCGCGAGATGTGGCGACTCAGCAAGCGCGAGGCCCGGCGAGCCACCTCCACCAACCAGCTGCCCAGGACCCGCTCCTACAACAACTACGGCAGACACAGGACCTTCGGCCCGGACTCCAACGGCCGGTCCAAGTCCTCCATCTACGGCAGCATCATACCCTATCCAAGCCCCTCGCAAGCCCGCCCTAGCCCCTTCGAGAATCTGAGGGCTATCCTGGGCTCTGGGAACCGCCAGGGCAAGTATGATGCGGTGCACCGTAAACTGACCGCGATGCGAGGACCTGGCCGCTCCTCTAAGGGCCGGTACGACGAGCTGCGGAGGATGATGGCGGCGGAGCGTCAGGAGCCGCGTCCCGTGGCCCTCGCCCTCCGTGCGTCACCGCAGGAGGCTCACCAGCCTAGTCCCAAGTCCCGCAGGGAGCCCCCGGCCATGTACCCCAGGACCATGGCGGGCTCCACGCACTTCAGCCACCAAGGGTTCGTGGGCCCGTTATTGCCCGCTGACTCCAGACTCACCGCATTCACCCCCTGGCAGCCAGCGGCCTCAGCCCCTGATATGGTGAGTACTCTGGTCCCTTGTTCTCACACTCTACTGCCTTGTTACACAAATGTAGCCAATGACCACACTCCATGGTTCACTCTCGTCCGGCGATAACATTTTCCTACCGTCAGACAACTCATGGTAGCTCTCTTAGGCAAGCAGCCTTACACTTCTCTATGCTCGGTTCAACCCAATGGAGATCGTTCACCAGATTCAATAAGCATTATGGCTCTACTGGGTCTTGAAGGTCGTGCCGATCGTATCCTACTTAGATGAAGGTTCTCAATCAGCTGTGGACTCAGCATTAATATTCATGACAGGCTAGATCAATTAGAAGCAAAGAATAGTGATATAAGTAAATGAGAGGATTTACATTGTTGTGTGGTATCCATATATGTGTGTGTGTGTGCGTGTGTGTGTGTGTGTGTGTGTGTGTGTGTGTGTGTGTGTGTGTGTGTGTGTGTGTGTGTGTGTGTGTGTGTGTGTGTTTACTAGTTGTGTTTTTGCGGGGTTAAGCTTTGCTCTTTCGGCCCGCCTCTCAACTGTCAATCAACTGTTTACTAACTAACTACTAACTTACTAAACTACTTTTTTTTTTTTTTTTTTCCCCACACCACACACACACACACCCCCCAGGAAGCAGCCCGTGACAGCTGACTAACTCCCAGGTACCTATTTACTGCTAGGTAACAGGGGCACTTAGGGTGAAAGAAACTTTGCCCATTTGTTTCAGCCTCGTGCGGGAATCGAACCCGCGTCACAGAATTACGAGTCCTGCGCGCTATCCACCAGGCTACGAGGCCCCTCGTAGTGTGTGTGTGTGTGTGTGTGTGTGTGTGTGTGTGTGTGTGTGTGTGTGTGTGTGTGTGTGTGTGTGTGTGTGTGTGTGTGTGTGTGTGTGTGTGTGTGTGTGTTTACTAGTTGTGTTTTTGCGGGGTTGAGCTTTGCTCTTTCGGCCCGCCTCTCAACTGTCAATCAACTGTTTACTAACTAACTACTAACTTACTAAACTACTTTTTTTTTTTTTTTTTTCCCCACACCACACACACACACACACCCCAGGAAGCAGCCCGTGACAGCTGACTAACTCCCAGGTACCTATTTACTGCTAGGTAACAGGGGCACTTAGGGTGAAAGAAACTTTGCCCATTTGTTTCAGCCTCGTGCGGGAATCGAACCCGCGTCACAGAATTACGAGTCCTGCGCGCTATCCACCAGGCTACGAGGCCCCTCGTAGTGTGTGTGTGTGTGTGTGTGTGTGTGTGTGTGTGTGTGTGTGTGTGTGTGTGTGTGTGTGTGTGTGTGTGTGTGTGTGTGTGTGTGTGTGTGTGTGTGTGTGTGTGTGTGTGTGTGTGTGTGTGTGTGTGTGTGTGTGTGTGTGTGTGTAAATCACGAACATTAGCACGTGATGAAAAATGTGACAGTGTCAGACCACGGAGGAAGAAGTGAAACAAGAATTTCCTTAAGTACTTTCGTATATTGATACATCTTCAGAAGGAATACATCTTCATTTCTTCTGAAGATGTATTCCTTAGAAAACCGTTAGAGAAGATGGCTTCTTTACGGTTTTGTTGAAGACATCATAAAACAATTCAATTTCTTTCTTTATTATGCACCCCATACCCATCCCGTGGGCGGTGGTGTAAAGGATTACAGAACCACATAATCGGTTCAGGAACTGAACCCTCTAGTTCGTTTAGTTAAGCAAATAAAAATTTTTGACGCTAGTTACAAAATTATTAATGTTATATATACATGTACACATTCTCATACGTACATGTACATATATATATATATACATATACATATATACATACACATAAATATTTAATCACCCACACAAGTACACACATCAATAATCTTTTGTGTCACAAGTGATCAACAAGAGGCTCACAACAGTCACTATACAAGGCACTTTACATCTATGGTGAGTCACACAGTTACTAGTCTTGCTGCACACCCACCCAACTAGGCGGCAGCTTTACAGTCATGTGCATGCATTACCTACAGTAAGCAAATTTTGGATACTTTGCTAAGATTTCGGGCAGCACATCATTATGAATGAAGTACTGACACATTTCTTGGACACTATTGATGGTGTTATCTCTAAATTCCGCATTTTTTTCACATTCCATTATATAATGACGCAAAGTATGCGAATAGTTCTGCTGACAGAGTTTACATTTAGTCAAATCTACATCAGCAGGTGTTACAAATTCCCAGAGGTACTTGTAGTCGAGCCTAAAGCCTAGCAGTGGTAACATCTAGAAGTCTGCTAACATTATAGGATGACCCATAGACGTGCGGTTCTTCCTGCATAATAGAATGATGATAGATGGAGTAACTGGTGTGAATTTCACTTTGCCTCAAGTCTCCGAAGTTTAGTTGATGTTCCTGGGATATTGCTGCCCTCAGGCTGCTCAAAGGCAGTCCAAGTTGGTAATCAATTCCCTCTTTACGAGCAAAAGTCTTGGCAACTCATCAGTTCTATCATGCATTCGAAGACCAATATGGGAAGGAATCCACAGGAGACAAACTCTGACTCCGTCATTGATTATTTCATTATATTTGTGTCTAGCTTCAGAGATAAGCACGTCACAGTTATGCCTTAGGGAGCTGAGGGCAGTCAAGGATGACAAGGAGTCACTTACAATTAGCGTGTCAACTTTGGATTCATATACGCGCTCGAGTGCAAGGATTATGGCAACCAATTCTGTTTGAAGAGTGGAGGCCCAGTTACTGAGACGCGCTCCACACTCATGGGAGAAGGAACCATCTCTCCCTGTCACAACAACTGCACTTCCAGCTGCACCATGGGACTGATGCAAGGATCCATCAGTGTAAATAATCTGGGAAAGGGAGCGCTCTCTGACTAAAGCATCAATTTGGCTTAAGGCATTGTACTTTGCTTCTTGTCGAAGCATGGCTTGTTCTTTGTGGGATATTTGGGTTTGATTCTGATTAATTAATAATTAAAGTAGTAAATTAAATTACGAAGGACCACCCGCTTTTAAAGTAAAGAGGGAAACTGAGAATTTCAGATCATTAGATAAAATTCTAGAGAAAACCAGTGACTATGGATATGACTAGAAAGTATGATCATAAGAATAATTAATGGGCTGTATTATTAAAACCAAACCTCAAACACCTACATTGGGGGGTTATTACTGGAGGTCAGTACGTCCAGGAATCAGTGTGGTTCGTTCACTAATTCTATTAATAATAATCTAATCCTATAATTAATGTTGAATATAATATTATTCATACAAAGAAGAACATGAATATGAGCATAATAATGAATTACAGTAAATCACACATTATGTTGAAAACATTCTGAATGTATCAAATTGCAATGTTATGAGTAAAAGAAATAAGCCTTAGCTGGTAATAGATTCCTTTAGATAACCCTGGCAGTCCTCTTAATCTCCAAGTCTGGTACACCGACGTCTGACACGGTTAACATGGAGAAGACAGCATGAGGAATTCGTCTCTCGAGCTGCAAAATAAATAACTACCAGTAGCAATTGATTTAACTACTCAATACATATTCAAGATTATTGATATCTACAGAGAAATTTCTAATCACCTGTTATTAGGTGTTGTCGTGCCGCGTGACGCGCAATCACCCCGCTATTATTAAACCTGTAAATGATGCATCAAATAAAAGGTACTTAGCTGTGGGCACTGTGTAAGTATTAAGATTGCCGTAATTTCGCATCCCAGGCTCCGGTGAACCTATCCTGGATTGATGCGTTTCAAGCTGGCTGATCACGTGTCGTCAGGAACCAAGTCTAGGGGTCCCTTATTTAACACCAGCACTAGTTGAAGATATTATCTGCAAGGTCGTTCACGCCTCACAGTGGCGGCTTTCATCTGTAGATAGACACACGTGTCCTATTTGCTGGACAATGGCGTCTTTTGTGAGTACGGTAAGCGTGGCTTTGCCTCCTTCTGGCCTTGCACGTGTCCGCTTCCCAACACCGTCACCGACTGAGCATGGCGTCGCGTCCCTCCCCCCACGCCGAGTCGACGTTCATTACACAAATTATTGGCATGAACATTAATATTTCTCGCATTCGCGCTTGAAACTCTAAAGACTGGACGGGTTTATTATTTAGAGGAACGAAATATTATTATTTAACTATTTAAGAATAGTAAAGATACAAGGGAGAGGAATTAATGTCTCCCCATAGCATTCATTGATGACGTTAACACTATCGCGAGGTAGACGGTATAATTCTAACGCTCTATTCGGCTTTTAGTTAGAAAACAATTCGTCTGCAATCAGTTGTCATACAGAATGCTTTAATTATGGAGAATCGTATTTAATTCTCACACAAATTGAATATAATGTGTTTTACTGTAAAGAAATCTGACGCAATACTGGCGTCAGATGACGTGAGAATTCTAGCCTAATGCACAGATGAATTATTAGTACAGGAGAATTCTACGAGTTGTTAATTTTACTTACTACAATATTAATATGATTAGTAATAAGTAATGAGAATACAACAATGCTGTATTCGATGTTGGAAATATCCAACATAACTCCGGGGGGGATTCCCAGGGTCGCAGTGTACTGTGTTGTACTGACCTATCCCGAAGTGATATTAAGATTAACACATTAGTATGTTAGTATGTTAGTACACACATAACGAACGTCCCGGATTTATCAAGGACTTACAAGAACTTGAGTCTTGCTATTTACATGTCGAATGAAACATGTTGTTTGTAGCCTACACAATATTTATAGAATTTAACTCTCCCAATTTAAACTAACAGAATCTACGGTGATGCGATATCCTGGGTCATAGTGACGTGTAAGGTTTCGTTACGTGATATCACATCGTAGTTTCATCACGGTTGTCTCAGTGGGAAGTGAAAGAAATTACTCTTGTTCAGAGTTGTAATAGGCTTGCAGTTTCCCTTAGTGGAAACATGCATGAAATATTGAAACATTAAATGATTAAGTTATCGGTAATCAGGAACGCTCTAAAGCTCACAATAAACTCAACAAC